TTTCAGAATGAAATAACGCCATTTGCAGCAACATAGATGGACCTAGAGATTATCTATTAAGTGAAGTAAATCAGACAGAGAAAGACAAATATCAGATGGTATCATTTATATGTGGAATCTAAAACAAAAGATACAAATTCTATTTACAAACCAAAAACAAACTCTCAGACATAGAAAACAAACTATGGTTACCAAAGGGGAAATGGCAGGGAGGGATAAATTAGGAGTCTGGGGTTAACAAACACACATTACTATATATAAAATAGATAAACAAGGACCTACTGTATAGCACAGGGAACTATACTCAATTTCTTGTAACAACATATAATGGAAAAGAATCTGGAAAGAAAAAAACATATATATGTACAACGGAATCACTTTGCTGTACACCTGAAACTAACATTGTAAATCAACTATACTTCAATCAAAAATTTAAAAAAAATAATAGATGGTTTCAGGTTGAGTGGGGCCTTGCCCAGTTCCAAAGTACTTTATATTTTATTTCAATACTTTTTTCAGGTTTTTGTTTTTCTATCAAAACTATTAGTCCAGGCAAATGCCCTGTATCCTATTTCCACTCTTTGTATTTACTTCCTGAATTGCAGTCACTCAGGGTTTTGTTGGGAAGGATGTTTTATGTTAAAGTGTCTTTTGCTCTGGTTTCTGGAAATGGAATCTATCTGCTTACTGACTTCCAGTCAGTCCTCACTGATAGCCCTTTCTTTTTTCTAGCATCCTATTATGTTTTTATTCACATTATTATATCTTCCTGTTCATTTCAATGGAATTTTGGAAGAAAATGGGATACAAATGTGTACGCTCGTCTACCATCTTGAGTGGAAATATCTGTGTACGTATGTTCTAAGAAACATTTTTATTATGAAATAAAAGTACGTATACAGTGGAAAATCTGGAAAATATAAGAAGACACAAAGAAAAAATAAAGATCAATCAAAATTCCACTATTCAATAAAAAAATGTTAAGATGTTGGCAAATTCATTACCAGCATTTCTAATGCATACAAATAAAAGTTCTCATAGAAAAGTAGGATCATAGTAAACATTTAGCCTTTTACTATGCTTTTTAAACTCATATTATGTGAAGAATATTTTCCTATATCCTTGAAAAACATAATTTCATTTAAAAATGGCTGTAGAGTACTCTAGCTGCACATATTTCTTAGAAATCAATGATCAATTTATTTTTATTAATATATGTATTTCCAGAAAGAGTAATACATTTCCATGAAACAGTCAAAAGTCTCCTTTCTGACCCCTCACTCCTAGTGGCCAGTTTCCCTTTCTGGAGTCAACACATGACATCTGGCTATTCTGAAGATATAGATCCCAACAGGTGGAATTAGGTGAAAGGTGACATAACCTTCTAGCTCCCGATACATACTTGCTCTCCAGAAATGTGTCATTTATACCACCACCATATAAAGACATTCTCTTTTTGACCATTTAATTTGACCATTTAATATGCATTTCTCTAAGTATAAAGTCAGAACAGTTTTCCATTATGTTCATTAGCCCACTCTACATCTGACATTAAAAAGTGTCTGTTGCTAGCCTTTGCCACCAAGGACCCTTTAAAAGCACTTTTAGTTTTCAGGATTACGGTCACCCTTCATCCACTGAGTGCTCCCCACACCAAGGGAAAATGAGACCTTTTCCAAATGACAGGCCCCCTCGTTCCCTGACTTGCATCATCAGAGGAGCCCCACTGCATTACATTCATGTTTTATCTTAATGAGGCTTCTAGGAATGCTGGAGATTTCTTTCTTGAGGTCCACTCTAAACTTCTGACCAGAGATGAGGGACAGCCCAGGATCTTTCTCAGAGAAACCATGAAGACTACATAAGACTGGTTATTTTCCAGCGACTCTCCATCTGAACTCTTGCAGGTAAGCTCTGTGCCCTGGATCCCATCACTCAGTTTTTCTGTGCCTTAGTCCACCACCCCCAGTGGAGTCCCTCCACACCTTGACCCATTCTGTCTCCGAATTGGGAAGGCTCTTTCTGCCTAGCTACCTCCCCTCAAGCAGGCTGGTTAGGTGCCCATCTTCCGTGCACCAGGGGTACCTCCGGTGCATGGCTTTATCACCTGCACATGCGCATTCCTGACTGTCTCGCCCCCCTCCACCACCCTGGGCAAATGCTCTGCAGTTCCTCCAGCCACGCAAAGCCCCAGACACACATCCTTGGGTGATGATCGCTGAGCTAAAGCCAACAACGCACACACCTCCCCCATTCACTTTCCCACAGGACAGCTACTTTTCACAGCTCACCACCGCCCACGGAACACACCATAACCTCCTAAACACTGTAATGACATTCAAGGCTCTCCCCTACGTCCACTTCTCCCGGCCCTTCACGCGGCCAAATAAGGAACAAATGTGCAGTCCCTCCCACATCCAGGTGTGTCCCAGATATAGGTTGGCTAACCATGCTCTCCAAGACTTCACTCAACCGGGGGTGAATTCGAAATGCAATCTTGACCCAACTCTCCGTTTTTCCTTCAGCACCTCATAATTTATTGATATTTCTGCTCCTTTCACCACCCATCAAACTCCACTCTCTAGCATAAGCATTTCAGTGGTGGCATATTACTTATTAGCTAAGGTTATTCACTGATTTTTATCTTTTTTTTCCCCCTTGGCCAAGGTAGCACTGCGTCTTCTGAACTTTCGTAAGTAGAGAAGCCGTTGACTAAGTACCGGTTGTTTGGGAAGCACTGTTGGCTTCCTTTTGTTCTCAGCCTCATCTTGAGACAGACTTCTCCCTCGCCCACTTCTCTGGCCTCCTGCCAGCGCCACACCCACGCCCGGCTCCCCCATGCCCACGCGCCGGAGCCC